ACTTTATATGATCACTAGATGGCCGGCTATTCGATTTTTCGCATTTTTATAAAAATCGGATTAAACCGAACCGAACCGCCGGTTTTTCGGTTCGGTTCTTACGGATTTCGGCTCTAATCCGAACCGTCTATAATCCGGACCAAACCGACCCGTTCGGAGCTTTAGCTCTAATAAACAAATTTTTGCGGCCCGTTCACTCAAATCAAGCCTGCGCTCTTCGAGTGCTAAAATTAGTTCTTCATTTTCGATATTCTTTTCCTTACTTTCGTGCTCATTATTCCGTTTTAGTACAATTGGCATTTTCCACAGTTGATTCATCTTAACGGCCAGGAAAAACTCTCCTTCGCCCAGGGCAAGCCAGTAACGGCTAGGAATACTTCCTTTGCCCAGGTAAGCCAGAAATCCAGGACATGGCAAAAGAAAACCTTCTTCATCCAAGGTAAACCACAATGGCCAGGAAAAGATTTCCTTCACCCAGGATAATCTCCTGCTAAAATGTAAGTTCAATTAGGTACATAACCGATTCCTCCTTCAAAATCAGTAGACCCTAATTGAAAACTTGCACTTCAACAAAATTACTTACTTTTTTCGAACCGATCAATTGTCTTGCGATTTTTATTTTGCGTTTAGAAGTAGATTCCTGCAACACCATATTAAGATATCTATAGAAGACTCTATGAGTTAAACCTTGCTGACAGTGCTCTGCGACCAACTGTCAAAATCTTCTGCAACCAATATTGTGGCTTTTTTTTAAAATACTTTAAATACTTGCCCATAATGAAAAAAAAGATGAAGGACAGAGTATTTATATTATAATTTACGCATTTTACTAGACTTCGTTATATAAAAAACAAGGGAGACTTCATTATAAAAAAATATAAAAACGTCATTAATAAACTTTGTTATATAAAAAATGAGGGAGACCTCATTATAAAAATATAAAAAACGTTGTTAAACTTCGTTATATAAAAAATGAGGGAGACCTCGTTATAAAAAACATCGTTATACTTCGTTATATAAAAAACGAGAGAGATCTCATTATAAAAAAATATAAAAAATGTTGTTATAAAAAAAAGATATAAAAACGTTGTTATAAAAAAAACAAGAGATGTCTCGTTAAAAAAAACACGTTATAAAAAAAAAATCGTTTATTTATAGTCAGTTGGTATACACAAAATTACGTAACTATTAGTAATATACCAATATACTAATA